CCGCGCTGCAGGTCCTGCTGCGGAGACGCAGCCCCCGGCCCCGCCCGCCAGGCTCCCGGGCCCGCCAAGGTCAGTGCCCCCGGTAGGGGCGGGACACCCCGCGGGGCTGGGAGGTGGGGGCAGGACATCTCAAGGGAAGGCTCGGGTGCCAGCTTTGGGGGTTTACCGTATCACCAGCCGTACGCATCAGCCTCTTACTTAAAGCAATGGTTTCGGGTAAATCGACTTCCTTTTGATAAATCTGTTTAAAGAGGAAACCCGCCCAAGCAGTAGTGACTAGGAAGTCGCAGGTTGGATGCCCTTCTGTGCCCAGAGCGTCCTTAATCTGCCGGCGCCCCTCCCCCAGCCTAGGGAGGGCGGGGTGCAGGAGCGGCGTCCGCGGGCGGCGGAGAGGTGAGGGGCTACGCGAAGGAGGCACCGCCCTAGGGGTGGGCAAACTCCCCCCATGACCCGCGTTGGGCCACCTGGGGACCTAAGAAAGTGCAAACATGTAGAGAATTTGTATAAAAACGTATCTGGGTCAAACAGGATATTCCTCGGAAGCAAGACCTCAACAGACCTAGATGGAGCTTCAGAGAGCTGCGGTTTCTCTCCTGCGTTTGAGAATAAGGAGGGAACTAGGGGGATTAGCTGGAGGTGGGACAGAGCCAGGCGGGGTCGCAGGCTGGCCCCAGGGGACTAGGACTTTTCTCTCCGCTGGGCCTGGAAGGGGCGTTTCAGGGGTGCTGGAACCCAGATGCACAGCAATGGGTGGGCCAGCTCAGGGCAGAGGTAAACCGTGAGCCTCACCCACCGGCCCCAGTAGGGATTCACAGTCAGGTCACCCTGCGAGGTCACTTTCCGCAGAACCCGTCCTGTCCACACCCCCAGTCCTCCGGCAGCCCAGGGCGAGGACCCCATCCTGCCCCGTCCTGCAGCCCGGAGCTCCCCCCGGGAGCTCATTTGCTGAGGAGACACGCCAAGGCTCCAGCTGCTGTGCGGCCGTCATCCCGGCCTCCCGCAGAATCTGGGGGGTCCCGTGTGTCACCACTCAGGAGCCTGTGCGGATGGCACCTCCTGCCCCCTCCGCCCTGTGCGGAGTCCTTCCAGGCCACGTTCCTGCCCCGGGGGTGGTGACAAGTCCTACCCCATCCACACCCCGTGCTCCTTGACACGGTGCGGGAGACAGGGCACCCCAGGCGCTGCATCAAGGCCCTGGCGTGGCTCACAACTGCCTGCGTCCTGTTCCTGCGGGCGGCTTCTCTCATGGTCTGCACCCTGTGCACTGGGTGTGCCCAAGCCCGCAGACGTGCCTGCTCCTCAGGCAGCCTCCAGGGTCTCAGGGTGTGCGGGGGCGGGGGGGGGGGGCTTCCTTCCAGAACATGCTCCCTTTATCGAGGCCTGGGTTCTTAGCAGCAAAGACCCCTTTCTTTTCACTTGATGTAAAATGTGTTGCCATTTTGGAGTAAAAAGTTGCAGCCCCCTTTGCCCCTCCCCAGCCCCAGGTGTGGTCACGTGGTGGAGGATGTGGTCACGTGACTGTGGGTGTGGCCGCCCCCCCTTCCAGGCTTCCTTCCAGAACATGCTCCCTTTATCGAGGCCTGGGTTCTTAGCAGCAAAGACCCCTTTCTTTTCACTTGATGTAAAATGTGTTGCCATTTTGGAGTAAAAAGTTGCAGCCCCCTTTGCCCCTCCCCAGCCCCAGGTGTGGTCACGTGGTGGAGGATGTGGTCACGTGACTGTGGGTGTGGCCGCCCCCCCTTCCAGAAAGGCCCTGTTCTCCCCCGGACTGTGTTCCTTCCAGCACCGGGGCTGTGGGCTGGCTCATGTTTATCAGACCCCCAGGGGTACCCCCCAGGTGTATGCACCAGGTGGGAAGTGCTGACCTGGGCTGTTTTGAGCTACAAGCTTGGCAGTTTCACGCAGCTCCACCTGGAAGGGCCCCTCCCTCTCCCGCCCTCGCCCAGGGGTGCACCTGCCCCCCCTCCCCCCGTGGCCCTGGCCGTGCTAGTTGGATGGTTGAATGGCTGCCGTGGGACCAGGCACTTTTGCTCTGGGCCTCGGTTTTCCATCAGTGACGGGATTCTCTGAGTCACCCCACATTCCCCAGAGGGCCACATGCAGGGTGTGGAGGTGGGCAGGTCGGGAGCCTGGGGTGGCCGGCTTCCCGAAATGCAGGGCCCTGGTGGGACACCCCAAGCTCACTCATGTCTGCCCTGCCCGCACCCTCCACCCCCAGAAGAGCTAGGTATAGAAAGTAAGTTCTCAGGCCCCCCAGAGAAGCACCCGCAGCATCCCCCACCTGGCGCCAGCTCCCCCCACCCCAGCTGCTGCTGCCTCTTCAGAGTCCTGCTCCCGGCACGTCCCCAGCGGGGGTGTGGGAGTCAGGCTGATCTCTGTTTCCTGGGTTCCAGGCGGGGGACGACTCTGCTGGTCAGGAGCCCGTTCTACACAGGGATGATCTGGAGTCCTTGCTAAATGAGGTAGCACCCGGCACCCCTGCAGGCCCGCCCATCCCCCGCGTTCTCGCTTACTGCTCCCCGCTCCCGTCCCCAAAGCTCCCGTACTGCTCCCCGCTCCCGCCCCCAAAGCTCCCGAGCCTCTGGAACTGCCAGGAGCCCCGGCACTGCAGGGCTGTGTGCTCCAGGATGGCGCTGACCCCTCCACACACATGCAGGAAGCACCCAAACGCACCAAGGGGGCCTGACCTGCCAGGGGGTCCTGGGGCCTGGACACGGGGTGGGGGGGTGGCTGGCGGCCACAGAACCCAGCACTGGGGCCGCCAAAGCCTGATGCGGAGGCCACGACTTGTCCCGGCATGGGGGGCGCCGGTTCCTGGTCCCTCATGGATCTCTCGCACCCCTCTCTGCCCGGGCCCCCTGCCCACCCGGAGACCAGTAGCTGAAATCACTGGGAGAATGTGGCCTTTGGGGGCCTCATCATCTTTTTTGACAGGAGGTCACTCCTCCAGCCAGCCCCAGACCCCAGCGGCCAGATGTGGGCGGGGCGGGCGCAGCATCCTGAGGTCCCCCGGGTGCCAGGTGCCCCGTGCCCAGTGCCGCCCCCTCTGTCCCTCAGCACTCCTTTGACGGCATCCTGCAGTGGGCCATCCAGAGCATGTCCCGCCCGCTGGCCGAGACGCCCACCTTCCCCTCCTGAGGCCGGAGGGCCTCGCAGCCTGGGAGGGGGAGGCGCTGAGTGAGAGCTGACCCCACCCCCGCATCGGTGCACGTGCGAGGGCCCACTCGTTCCCACGGCGACTCTGGCTGAGAGGGACAGAGGGGACTCACCAGGTTAGAACCAAGAGGAACAGAAGCTCCCAGCGCTGTCAGTGCTGGCTCGTAAACACGGCCCGTCTTCCGGTGACACGAAGCCAGCGCGTGAGCTGAAATTAAAGTCGCTTCTGTGTGCTTTCAACGTGCTGTCGAGTGGGTGTGTTTATTTGGGGGTCTGAACCCTGAGTTTCTGGTGTGTGAAGGGGGTGCTGAGCGGACCGGAGGGGAACTCGCGGTAGTGGAGGAGAAGTGCTGGTGAGCGGGATCCCACAGGGAAGCCCCGCTCCGCTGGCCCTGGAGTGAAAGCCGTGGCGGCCGCCCCTGCCTTCATCCGGCTGTCCTGCCTCAGTCCCAGCCCCGCCCACCGCGTCCCGCCCCGCCCACCGTGGCCAAACTCATCCCGCCCCAGGGCCTTTGCACGGCGCTCCCTGCTGGGAGTTCCAACCTTGTGCTTCTCAGTGTTTTCTCCTCGTTGAGCGCTCAGCTCCCAGGCCACCTCCTCGTTCACTCCGTCACTCAGTCATTTCTTCAGGAAACCTTCACTGTGGACCTTTTAAATGCCGAGCACATCTCCAGCACGAGTCCCGTGGGGGGACATCTGGTTGGGGGGACAGGTCACACACAGGAGGACAGTGGCCTCAGGCAGGGTAATGAACTGTGACGCAGGAGGCAGGACAGGCTGGCGGGTGGAGTGTGCTGGGGGGCCCGGAGGCCGCGGTGGGCAGTGCTGTGCCTTACTGTCCCCTGGCACCCACTGCAGTCAGAAGCCAGCCTCTGCACTGATCGACTTCTTCCCTAGTTGTGTCTGTCACCCCTGAGAATGATGGCTGGTGACCCGGGCTCCCTGTCTAGTTCTCAGCCATGTCCCTGGGCCTGGCACAGCTTTTGAGTCAGTGCTGGTTGAATGGACGGCAGGGCTGTCACAGCCGCCCCTTGCCCCATGGGGACCCGTGGCGGACCACCCAGATGGGAGTCAGACCTGGGAGGGAGGACAGCGACCACGGGCCCCCGCGTGGATGAGCAGCAGAGCTGGGACGGGTGTGCTGACTTGGGATGTGGCTTTCGTCCCCACCCAGGGAGGCCCAGGCAGGGAGCAATATATGGGGTTCGGTCAGCTCTCTCAGCCCCTCCAGAGACCCTGCGAGCCTCTGGCTGCACACAGGCTCCTTAGTCAGCCTCGTTCGGGGTGAGGCGGGGGATGACAGGCCACCTAGGACAGCTCCTGCTTAGGGTCTGGTCGGTGCTGGAGAGGGCCTGGCCAGTTCCCAGCAGTGGGGGGCAAGTGCCCCAGGCTTCTGGCTGGACTGTTGGTTCCGACGATGCTGGCAGGTGTGCATGAACGAGCGGGCAGCTGTGCCCCGAGGCGGGCAGTGGTGGGAGGGACAGCCGAGGGACAGCAGTGGATGTGCTTGAGTGTCCCAGCTCAGAGGCTGGGTTCTGGATGGAAAGACACCGAGAGGGGCAGGACCAGGGAGAGGCTCGGGATGCAGTGTCCACGCACAGGCGGGCCCGGGCATACCCATGCAGAGCTGTCCCTCCCCCACAGACCCCAGCGCCTGCCCCCACCCTCCAAGGATGAAGTGGGACTGGATGAGGTTTGCAGAAGCCGGTGGGGTGGCATGGTGGGGACCGTGGCAGTTTGGGGGCTATGTCGGGGGCTGACCAGGGAATGCCGTAAACTGTGGCGGCAGGCACCCCACACTGAAGGGCGTGGCCAGGTCACCATGGGCAGAACGCTGAATGCGGGGACCCTCCTCCGTTCAGTTCCAGACAAGGGGCAGGAAGATCCATGAAACTGAGCACCCTAAAAGGGCAAGGCCCTGGGGGGCTCCCCAAAACACCACCCAGCAAGCTCACCAGCAGCAAGGCTCAGCGACTGCATGTCCCTGTCGCGGGCAGAGGTTCCAGCCACTCCCTGACGTCTGGGACCTGCCTGCGCCACGGCCTGCTGTGGACAGTCCCCAGAAGGCCCTGCTGGTGGCTTTAAAACAAGGCGCACATTCTTCGATGCTGGTCTCTTCGGGTGGAGCTTCGCCCCGCGCTCCTCGAGCTGGGCTGCACTCGGCAACTCGCTTCCGTGGGCAGTGTGCTGGGGTGCCATGTGGGCCTCCCGAGTTTAGGTCACCCAAAGCATTGCGGCTTCCCCTTGGATGGCTCACTCTGGGGGAAGCCCGCGGCCCTGTCCTGGGAACTCTCCTGCAGCACCGCCATCGGCCACGTGGGGGCGCCATCCCAGAAGCCGCTCGTCCCGCCCAGTCCGGACCGTGACTGCACCTTGCCTGCAGCCTCGCCAGAGGTCGACCAGGAGCCGCTGCCAAAGCCCTGGTCCCCAGGGACCGTGACGTAATACGTGTTTTTTGCTGCTCGGGGCCTCTGAGTCTCAGGGTACTTTCTCCACAGCCGCAGGTCTTGGGCGCTGTCAGACTGCGGCCCAGAGGCCGTCGTCCTCTCTGGGAGGACACGTGGCCCCGTCCAGCAGTGGCGACGGCAGAGGTCTCCCCTTGCCAGGGGACATTGTGTTTGCCACTGAGCTTTCACGATGGAACCACGTGTTTTTAAGAATACATGCAGGCACACGTACACATGGAGCAAGAACATGCACACGTGACACATGGCTCCGGAGCCACGCTCGTCAGCCTGGACGTGGCGCTCGTCCCTCACGCCTGTACCTTTCACAGTTAAGTAGTTGTGTGTTCTGAGTTCACGCTCCCCATTTCCTGGGTCCCCCTCCGTCCTCCTGCCAACCCCTTTCCTCCACCCTTTCCCAATGGTGCACAAAATGCAATATTACTTTTTTTGTGGAGAAAAATAGAAACAATTTTTCTCTTGTCCTCTTTATCGTTATTATTGTAAATTGTTATTGATAAGAACATTTCACGTGAGATCTGCCCTCACAGCCAGACTTTGGTGTACACCACAGAATTACTGACCGCACGCGCTGTGCGGGACAGCAGGGCCAGGATGCAGTCACCTTCTAGAACTGAAACCCTGCCCCCGCTGACTCATACCTCCCGCTCCCCCTCCCCAGCAGGGCAATCATTTTAAGTAAACTTCTTATCAGAACATAACACCTGTAAAGAAAAATGCACAAATCATAGGTGATCGGCTTGCCAAACTGTCATACAGCAAACACACCTGCGTCACCACTCAGCTCGCAATGTTACCCGAGCCTCCTGGTGGCCATCTGGGCCTTCCCCACCGCCAGCCCCGGCTCAGCCCGTGGGATGGACGCCTTTCCTCACACTTGCTCTGGTTCTGGGGACTCTCCCACCGGTGACCAGGCTCCCTTAGGACCAGGGCTGAGCGTTCTGCTGACCGCACTGGGTCCCTCCTGGGCTGGGGGGACGCCCAGCTCAGCAGAAGGGTTCCATCGCTCAGCTTGACCATCCAAGGTGGAGGCCCCGGTCCCCTCCCCCAGGTCCCCACCCCCCTCCCCCCACGCTGCCTGGCATGCAAGAGTATTCCAAGGGTCCAGCAAAAATTTACTGAAGTAATGAATAAGTTAATAAATAAATGAGCCCGAAGTCCCCTTAACCCCATTCGGCATCTTAACCAGAGGTGGACTCGCGCGGACCCTCACCCTCTGCTAAAGCTTGAAGAAATGGGCGGGAGGACTCGAGGCTCCTGTAACGAACTTGGAAAACAACGTTAAAGTCGGTCCAGGCCTAGAATTGCAAATCCTGCGCGTGTCTTTGGCAATCTGACCTGGCTCTGAGGTCAAGGGCTCGCTAGGGTGGATTAAGGCGCTTGGGTGATTATGCGACGCACCCTCAAAGGTCTGTGGTCTGCCCGACAGGTTCAGAAACTTAAAACTGCGGGCCACTGTCAGCCAAGTTCGCAGATTCCCACCCGAGGCGTGCTGGCCCTGTGCTGTCGCGGGTTCAGGAGCCCGGTGCACGCGCGCGGACTCGGGGACCCTGGGGACAGCCGCGGACCCTTCTGGAACGAGGGCGCTGGACTCCTCCTTGGCCGCCGCCCCACACCTGCGGCCGCCCCACCGGCGTGGG